ACATAAAGATATGTTTGTTTCAGATTCTGAAATATTCGATAAGTGATTGCGAGGCGTTTAAAACATGTTCTGAATGCACTGCTGAACATGACTTTCTCTGTAGTTGGTGCTTCCTTCAAGGAGTTTGCACTGAGCGGGCCAGTTGCACTTCGGCGGTAATCACGGATATTTGTCCTATATTTGACACTCCAGTTCCATCCACTTTATCGAGTGCACTAAAGAATGTTTCCGTATTATTTCCAATGCGCGGCATCCAATTAGGAATGCAAAGTGTTAGTGTAAGTTTACATTTCGAAGTTTTAATTGCAATCTTAAAAAGCAAACAAGAAGTGAGTGTAATTTAGACTAAATATAAAGATTAAAATGTATTTTAACTGGTGATTAATCGCCCTACTATTCAATTCCTTCCCTCTAAAATTAACTTATTTCCCTTCCTCTAAAGTCATGTCGCAATTTTGATTCCGGTCATTTCCATATATATATTTAATTTTTGAATTTATTTTTATCCTAGAATTTGAAAGTGTGGTAAAGTAGTAAGAAAATCGTTGTGCTTAGAATAGTAGTAAATATTTAAAATTGTCCAACCTATTTTGGTTTTGCCGTAAAATTTCCTGTTCACTAACTTCAAATTTTCAAGCTTTTCAGGAGTATACTTGCACCTTTGAAAATGTGATAGCAAGGGGACAATGGACAGGTGCAGGTGTGACGTGTCATTTACTGTCTTTTCATACTGCGATGTCGATAGAAGAATTTCGAAAAGTGAAAGTTTCCATTTACTATAATGGATCCAAAAACCCAATTGTCACTCAAGAACTTCAAATGTTCAATTGCTCCTCCTATAATTTGTAAATTTTTATGAAATCTGCATTGCTCATTTTCTCTTTCATATATTAGTTGCACGAAAAGCATTCTTCAAAAGAAAAAAATGAAACACTTTTTGCTTCAATCTTAAATTCTAGAAATATGAAGTTTTGATGAAATTTTTTTAGCTGCATCTCGTGCTTATCGTCATCATGGAATTGTCAATGGTGTGAGATGGGAAATATGTGCCTCGCACTTCATGAAAAGTGCCAAGTGAGTCTACAAATTAGTAAATGGTGATATGACTTATGAAATTTAAATGATTTTGATCAAAAAATTGAAAGGGGAAGTTTCAGGGTGTTGCAAAATCTTTCTGTCCACAGATAGATCCTACAATACGAAATAAAGTAATCGTAGCAGTGGATAGTGACCAGATGGTAACTATGCAAATGTTACACATCAGTGATCAAGAGCAACCACATTTAACCTGTCGTTTCCTCTACCAAGGCAATGCAATAGTGCGGAATGTTTCTCTTAAAAAGTCCAGGCTTTCCTGTGATCCATGGAATTATACAATGAACAGAAATGCTTCACAAATGAGTCTACAGTTGGAAGTGCTAAAAAATGAAATCGTTATTGACAAGTCATCAGGTTTTTAAAAACTTGAATTACTTTATCTCAATACATATTCACTAGAAATCTGACTTGAGCTTAAAAGCTGAAATAAATAGAGAAATTACTTTTTATGTCTGTAACAGGTTGTATAAAGCATAATTTCCATATTCCCTTATTTCCATATTCAACGTTTATGGTTTTAAATTCAAATTATCCGAAAAACATTTAGGCTAACCTTTATAATTCAATTTTAAGTGACGATATATGACTGTAACCGTATGGCTACAGACTGTTCAACATGTTTTTCTTTGGATCCAAGCTGGAAATGTGTCTGGTGCGATGGCGCCTGTCAATTTAGCGTCCATTGTGAACAATTAGCCATTATACAGTCTGCAGATGTGATTTGTGGACAACCAATTATCGACACTGTACTTTTTTCATGATTTTCTGTTATTTATTTTACAAAAAAAATTTCCCATCATTAATATCTACCGTGTTTTGGAATATTTTTAGTTTGAGCCGCAATCGGGACCAGTCGAAGGTGGTACCAGGATCGAGATTCGTGGTCGAGATTTAGGGTCGTCATTGAGCGAAATCAAGGGTCGTGTCTTTGTTGGAGCTTCCAGATGTGAAGTTATCGAATTTGAAATAGCTTCTAGGTGAAAGTATTTTTTATTTAAACTTTAAATAGGCTAGTCCTAGTCTTTCAACAAAAGTGTAAAATCTTTTATCGAAACCTTGGCCCACGACATTGCATAAGTTGAAAAGAGGGGTCACAAGTTTAGGGTTGAACTTTTTCATTGAATGTATTAAACCCATATTTCCTTTCATGATCAAGAAATCTGCAAGCAGCAGCGCATAGTTTTGGAATTTCATTGCAATTTTTGCTACTTAATTCAAACCACTTGTAATCAACTTATAAGCAGAAATATGCTTTTATTGGTGCCATTCTGCACCTCAGCAATATGTTGCATTAAATTAATGCTACCGTTGATAGAAATAACATGCTTCTTCTGCCGCCTCAAATAGCCAATAGTGGGATTCTACTTTAATCATAAACACTTAACTTGTCGAATAAAAAAAAAGGTAAAAGAAACCACGTTGCAGACTTCAATACTGCATTCGCTCAGCAAAAATGTAATATAGTTGCTGCTTCTGATGTGATAGATGGTAGGACAGGGGAACATGGAAAGACAATAAATGATAATAATTTCAAAATGCGTCAGACCTATACTTTCACTTCGGAGTCCTGTAATTATGGAACATTTCAGAATTTTATGTGAAGTAAATTCTGGAATTGATTCCGGTTCCATTCATTTGCGTCTTGGGCAAACTGGTCGACGCTTTGCTGATTCCATTATGCTCTACCAATTCGTGGATCCACAACCGCTGTCACTATATCCATCATTTGGACCACTGTCGGGTGGTACCAAATTGACTATTTATGGCAGCAACCTAGACACTGGAAGCAATACTTCAATTCTCATAGGGACTTATCCTTGTAAAGTACTGCAAAAAGTAAGTTATCAAATTCATTTGTTGACATAACTCTTTCTCAAGTTGAAGTTGCAAAGTCGGTGGAATTTCACAAATTTTTGTCTTCTAGAAAAAATTTAAATTCGATCCGGTGTAAATCCTTCATTTACAGGAAATACAAAACAGAAAAATTCATATCAGTTTTTAATACTACTAAAAATCAGTTTAAAAAAAATACTCTTTTATACAGGAAACTTTTCGTTATTCATTTCTATTATAAACCT